CATTCTGTACTGGTGTACTTTCGCAGCATGTGTATGTATGTATGCATGTATGCAGGCAGGCAGGCAGGCAGGCAGGCAGGCAGGCAGGCAGGCAGGCAGGCAGGTAGGTAGGTAGGTAAGTAGGTATGTATGTATGTACGTACGTATGTGTGTGTGCACGCATGTATATGTGCATGTATGCGTGTGTGCAAGTGTAACGCATGCACGTGTGCCTTTGTTTGTGAACGCGTATGTGTATGTATGCAGGCTATGTCGGCTATGTCTTTGCCTATGCAATGTTTCCATGCTTCCATGTTTCTAGATTTCCATGTTTCTATGTATGTGTATGTATTTAAGCATGTGCGTAATTGTGTATGTGTCTGTATGTCTATCTGTGTGTGTGTGTGAGGGGTGTGTGTGTGTGCATGCATGAATCTATGTGTGTTCGACAGTATTTTCATCTACTGTCATGCGATGTCACATCATATCATGCTTCCTGTTTCCGCTTCGCAGCTGAACGCGTGTTGCTGCACGACTTCATCAATGACATCAAGGACGACAACTGTACATCTACATCGCCCCGGCGATGCGTGGCGAAGACACCCATGCATTTTGCAGGAATGGTGTTTAAATTGGCTCCTACGATGCTGTCCAACAAGCCTTCGGCTTGAGGCAGGTTGTAGATACAGCTCTCCGGAAAAGGGAGCTCAGACGCGACCGCATAGCACGGCTTCAACCCGACCACAATGGCAGATGTACCTGGAAGTCGATTTGCACCCGTCATCTCAAACACTGCAGTAGCCATCGTCGCCGAGACGTTGCCTCATGTCCTTCCAAAGCAGATGGAGATTCGAAGACTTGCTGACAGCAGATCGACTGCGACCGGGTGCTGAAGGCTGTGCCCGGATCCTTCGCTTGGCTCCGAGCAAGATCTCGAACGGATGTCGCCAACATGATGATGTCGGTGTGAGGTTCACCCACCTGCATCGAGGAGTCTCTTGCATGAAGCGACGTGGCCTTAGGAAACATCCGCCGTACGCGAGAACTCGTGCAGCAAGGTTGCACGACGCCAATTGTCTTGAGTAACTTCCAAGTAGAAACGATCATCCTCGGCACTGTGAACTACAATTACTTCGGCAGCGAAACTTCGACAGAGAAGAACTTCATTGAGCGTGCAAACGACCAAAAAAATGCCTTGGCTCAATGACCAATTATGTTACCTTGCCCTCGAGGCTCTTGTTTGTTCAGCTTGGCCCGCGAAAGGCATGTCTGAAAGATGAAGCCTTGGTTGTCCATGCTCCGAACATCCACGGCTTCGAACATGTACGCTGCTCTCTTGTTAAACTTCAACTTGCCCACATTCGCCTTTGCTTGCGTCGGTAAAACCCCACTGGAAACTGCACTTGCTCTTCCTCCCTTCTTTCTTCGAGAGAAATCATCCCTCTGTCTCTCCATCTGTTCTTCGTTTTCATTCTCTCCTTTGCCTTGGGTCTTGCTGTACACCCGGCAACTGTTCCGAACCATGAGCGTGAAGGCAGCCATGTCCGCCAGGTCGACAGTAAGCATTTGACCTCATACAGCCAGGAGTCTGAGAGCTCCGCTCTGACCAATGAGGCCTCAAAGCCGTGATCTCGGCCCCAAACTTTGCAGAGCAGGCTCTGAAGATCGTACCGCTTGGATCAACTCCACCAAAACCTGGAAGACATGAACACCAAGGCCAACCCCCGTCTCTACAGCGCTGCAGCTGCATCAATCTCTGGCCTCCAAAAAGCAGGGCACGGTGACCTCGACTCCGCATACACTACGCTGAAAGCGATGCAAAGAGCCGTGGCAGCTCCGCAACTCTCCCCGATGAGCCACGGACAAAGGGGTTCGTGTTGGCACGCTCCAAGCATAGGGGCAGGAACCTTGGCTTGAATTGCTCGCGCATTGACTTACATTCAATTGTTCTGTAAGGCTCTGGGTGAGCTGCACACTGTCTGCAACATGCAGAAACTTGCCAGCCGTGGTGCTCAAAAATGACAGCCGAATTTGTGATGCCATCGGCAAGAAGATGCTTGCAAAGCTCTTGCTGCTCACGTGTGCCAAGGGCGTCCCAGGATCTCTGCAGGCCAAGGAAATCCTGCAGGTCGGTCGCCATGGCATTGCACGACTGCTTTGAAACCCGGCACTGGCTATTCCGTCATCTCTCCTTTGTTAAAGCGGGATCGGGACTCGAGAGTCGAGAGGAGAGCCCGTGTCCGTCCTTTTGCGACTGGATCCGGCATAGACCTTGGTGACTCCGGCGCTGTCTTGTACGGATTCTCGCCAGCCTCTTGCTGTTGCGGACTTCTGCTTGCTCATGGTACAAATGCTGCCACAGGTACAGGCCAGGCGAATGACTGCAAGATCGGTGGAATGCTGCGGAGCCCGCGACAAACCCAATCCTCCACATCAGTGCCCGACGTTGGGTGCCATGCATTGCCATACAGCACGTCCGGCCTCGATGGTAGATGTAAGTCCAATACAGCCGTGCAGGGTCCTGTCATCGTGCTAGGGTTTGCATCCGGTGCCAAACCAAGCATGCTGTCCTCATTCAAGACGTGCTTCATGGTGTTCAAACCCATGATCGTGGTTTCGGCGTTGCCTTCGGTGTCATGGGCCCATGAAGCTTCAAGAGGCCCGAAAGAACATACTAGGCCCCGTGTCCTTCTCACTATGCCAGCGGCCCCAAACAGTAAAAGACCATGTCATTAGGACCAGAAAGTCGCAACTAGTTACTATAGTTGCCATCTGTCGTTTTCCAGAATTTATGCCACCAGGATCAAGCGACAACCAGCAGACAAATTGGAGACAACCAGGAGACCAGCAAGTCAGAAGACCACGAAGAGACCACCAAGAGAGCACCAGGAGACCACCAAGACACAACCAAAACAACACCAGAAGTCCACCAGGAGACCAGCAGGAAAGCAGCGGGGGACCACCAGGACAGAAGCAGCACGAAAGCGCTTTCCGTGTCGTATCATTTGCAATGAATTCTGGGTACTGGGGGCGCGTCCCCAGCCAATCCTCCACAAAGAGTGAGACGGAGCGAAAACTATGTACCGCACCTCACCGGGATAAGTGTGCCATAAGCATCCTGTGTAAGTATGTGCAAAATTGTGTAAATAATGGAACGCGGGGATTCGATGTGCACTAGATGCTGCAGATTGTAGGATGTGGGGAGCTCCTTTTCGAGGCGCTCCACGCGGGAACCTCAATCTACACTCTCTTTACCCCCTTAGTGCTAAAACACTTCTTGGTGAAAAGCTCTTTACCAGATGGTAATCGCGGTAGCTCCACAGTTTTGAGATTGGGCGGAAAATGGCGGAAAGCTTCTGTCGCATTTTCAACTGCCACAGACGGACAGGGCAGGGTCTCAACGCTTCGGCATTCCTGTGTGCACCAAAAGCAGCAAACCCGGGCCCCAAACTCAGCAAGCCTTGCATTCAAATTCCTTGCCCAGCCACGACAGGTCATGAAACGGGAACCTGTGCCGCCGGCCAGACCTGACATGAAGCCGAGCAAGATGAGGACCTCGGCTCGCTGAAAGTGCACCCAAAAGCCTCAAAGCCAGATCTTCCAAGCAAGTCATCCTAGCCAAGCTGCGAAGAATTTCAACATGTCTTCTCCTTGGGTTTGCTCCTAATTCCCCAACAGCCAATCGCTGCTTTTCGTCCTGCCTACATCGAGCCACACCCCACAGTCACCATTCATCGTACCTGGTGCTTCCGAGGAGCCTCCCTTAGTGCGCATGAAGTCTTTCAATTGGCACAGGTTGCCTGCGACCTGGACTGGGCAAAGCGACGTTCTACATTTCTAGTTCGGTTTAACTGTTTATGTCAGACGGACTCTGCAATAGGCGGCCAACGTCAAGCTTCGTTCGAGATTTGTCTGAAGGTTTTCTGTGTGTTCGCAAAGACCGGCAGCTTCAAGAGGCGGGCATGCTGGAATCGAACAGTGCGAGCATACCAAACGACTACACCATGTAAAAGCTTACCCACTGGCGCACGAGCAAATTCGATGGTTTAACTTGCCAGCTGCATGCCCAGTTGCATTTTCCCCTTGCAACATCTGGGCAAAGTTGAACTCCTGCTGCAACTCCAAGGCATCCATCCTCGAGCAACTCACAGGACAAGGCTTCGCCGACAGAGGCAGCAGCAGCGATGGCCAAGTTTCACCAACGTCGACATGTTCTGATCCAAACTCGTCGAGGACGGCATGGCATCGGAATAGTTTTCCTTAGCCACCGGGACGAGGAAGCGTCGTGATGGGCCACGTCTTGAGGGACGGATGAGGCGGGGCAACCGGTGCACGTAATTTTCACTTGGTTGCACTTGCATCGGCTCAAATCTCAAAAGCATGGACACCGACATCACCTCTTTTTCCATCGAGGTACTAGGATGTATCGAACAGCTGCCTCCGGCCTGCGTCGAATTGGAGGCAACTGTCGCGTCAATGACCTTGTTTGGGGAAGCGGTCTCTCCCAATAGATCGGTTTACACCTGCTTGCTGCCTGCTCGGTCAGCCGACCTAAACTTGCCAATTCCACGAATAGCTAGAAGAAGAATCGCAGCCTCCAATTTCCTTGGTTTGACCGAAACTCTGCCGCGAGAAGGGGAAACACTTATAGCATGCACAGTATGCACAGCTTTGAGCTTGTCAGCTTGCTGCTGGCCGTTAGCAACCAGCTGCATCCATCCCAAACATGGTAAAGCAATTACACGGTGCGTTCGCGCGTCTCCTGGGTCGGACCTGCCCATTCCAGAATGCTCCGCAGCTGCTGCCACTGTGGCCGGGTCAGGCGACCGTTCTCCCGTTGGGGCAGGATGTAGGCCTTGACGAGACATGTGGCACTACAGAGTGATAGACCATCGAGCTCCACCAACCACCGGCAACTACAGGCACTTTCCACGTTACTGGAAAACTGATCCGACGATCGTGCAACTGCAACCTGCAGGCCCGTGCACGAAATTCATGGCGATCAGCTAGCGACTCGCCCTACAACTAGCAACGCTGAGTAAAGCGCACTCTATTTGTGGAACAGGGACACCAACGTGAAAAATGCTTGGAAGGCGAAGGGACTACAGCGACGAGGCCATTTCTATGTAATGATCACTTGCCCAAAACCAACCAAGCTGAAGAGTGCAAGTCATTGGGGGCGACCGCTTCCTGCGGCAACTCCACAGGAGCAACATTCCTATTCATTTACCCACCTGAAACATGCATCAACAGTAATTATGCAGTATGCAACACACAAGGAAACAGGCTGCAATTGCGCCAGATGTGTGTATGCGACAAAAGAACGCTTATTCATCTGGATTGCTGTGTAGTCATCCCGCACCAGGGAGACCAAAGATAGGATCGCAGATTCAGCACGCTCTTGCTCCTTTGGCTCAGAGAACCTGAGTGACTGAGGGCAAGTGTTTCTCCGTTGCCGTGCATCGCAACTCTGTAATGACACAGTGGCCTCGCATGAAGGCCACTCTCCACGTCCAGCTCTACAAAAGCATCCCGGAGCTCCTCTAACGATGGCACGATCCTCATCTCAACTCACGGCAGCAGTTGGGGATCGTCGAGAGGGACAGCATGCGACTCATTACCGCATGTCAATGCTCCAAGTGTCGAAGAGTTCAACACCTTTGCGGTAAAGGCGGCAGGGCTGGCAGTGCGTCCCGGCTTGCTGGTCAACGACTTCAGGCTCAGGTAGCGGATGGCTTTCCCTCGGCCATCTGACAGGCATTGACATTCACAAAAAACTGGGCAACCAAAAATGAATGCGCTTCCGAATACGGCCTAGTTGTCGGCAAAACTCAGAAGAGGGCCAGTAAATTCAACCTCAACATAGCAGCAATCGAGAAGCTGTCATCCATGTAGAGGTCCAAATAAAAGGAATTGCATTCACTGGCATTTTTTGCACAGTCTTCGGATGCTTGCAGGATCTCGTGGGCAGATGCATCCACGTCGGGTGAGGAATAGCGACCGACGAACCTTGTGGGGCGTGCCATCTACAATCTGGACCTGTCGTAGAGGGTCTGTGATAAAGGACCGGGTGGCTCCGTCGCATACTCCACAAACATAGTGGCGCAAGGGGGGGAATGCGACCTCCACAGCACTAGGTCCAAAGCACAAAGCATCACAAAGCCACATGTCAATTCAGACTCTGCGCATCCATCTGACTGTGGCTCGATTCAGTTTACATGCTGCTATTGCAACGAGCCGCAGGATGTCGGCAAGCTTGTGGCCTGACAATTTGAAGACCTGGCAACCAGTACATGGCTACCGACGGGATGGCGGTACGGAGAGTCTCGAAGATTTTACGTCATGCCCCTATCATGTAAGCGCAGGTGTATGCCTCTGCCCTCACACGAATATCCTGCTGCGAGGGCTCCAGCATGGTTGCGGTTGCTGTCTGGCTTGCTCAAACGTTGCCCCCCTGTTTGTCATCGGCACGTCGGCCTCAGTCTCTAACAGACCGTGGTCTCGTGCGTCCGTCCTGTACCCTGCGACGAAATTCGATGGAAGGGGGGGGCCATGGGGGGCCTATACTTTTGCCAATGCTGCCTGGATATGCGAACAGCTCGATTCACAGACTGCTCTGAAACTGAAGGACGCTGACTCAGGCGTGATTGTTATACACATAAACATCTTGTTGTGCGCGACCTCGGCGAAGGACTCGGCGACCAGCGTGCAATCGTGCATGACGGCTTCCACGTACATTGACACCTCAAGCCGCGGCAAAGGGTGGGCGGTCATTAAATTCTTGTCGACACAGTTCGCTGCACAGTGATGGAGGTGCACAAATCATCAAGAAAAGCCCTGCAACTATCGAGTCTCCACCACCCTGATCTTCAAACTCATGCTGGGCCTCCGCAAAGTATCGGTGTTCATTGACAAAGTTGCAAACATTGTTTGCCATATCCAGCTCCGTGCCTCGAGGAAGCGGCTCTGCCCATACGTGCACCGAACTGCAGCAACCCCCGGGTCTCCGGCATACCGAGAAGGCCCCGTGGCTAGTGATGTACATGCTCTCGGCGAGAGATGCCTCGATGAAGACTGATTCTGCCTCGCAAAGGCTAGAAGCGGCTAGCCACACAGATCTTGGAGTGGAAACACATGTCTCTAGAATTTCCGACAATGCGGCAGTCAATCAGAACACGTGCACTCCGGCAGCGCGAGACATGCCGAACACCTGGTGGAATCTTGATGGGCAAGCTTCCTATGGGCAGTTTCGGCATCTGCAATGCGGCCGATGCATAGTGCCAACCAGAGAAGTGCAACTCCAGATCATCGAAGTTTTCGGAACGATGCCCAGCAGAGGTTGCAGGGCGTACGGCGTAGGTACGAGATTGGGACAGACACGGCGACACACACCTGACCCGGCCGGTCCAAAACGACCATCTTTCTCGGCAGCTTGTCTCAGCAACCGACGGAAAACACGCAGTCGAATAGGAACGACTCCGCCGCAGGTGAAGTTTGTCAAGTGGGTTCATACCGCAACATGCATTAACAATTTGTTGGGCGCTGCTGATTGTGCTGTTGGTCCTTCGGGCTGGGGGAGTGCTGCTACTCCTCCTACATTACAACTCCTACAACTCCTACTACTACAACTACAACTGCAACGGCAACACCAACAATTGTTATTATTGGACGCTGAGCGAGCGGGCTCTGCTCATAGTGAGCGAATGGGGCAGTCAACTTCAGACTTCAGACGTGCCGTGCTTCAAAGGGACGGGTCTCCCAACTGTGCTACTAATTTACAAGTCCTCCTCAAGTCCGTTCAAAGTCAAACCACCTCCGATACCTTCAATGTGAGCCAGCAGCATCCAGCAGCAGCAGCTGTATTAGCAGTAGTAGTAGTCGTCGTCGTAGTAGTAGCAGTAGTCTTAGTAGCAACAGTAGTACTAACACGAGGTTTTAAGTCGCCCCAACTGGCGTAAAGTCGCCCCAAGCCCTGCGGCAGACGGCATGGGAGTGAAGTCACCCCAGGCGGGGTGATGTCAGCCCAACAACAACTAAACTTAGGCCAATCCGCTAGGGCACACGCATTTTTGCAGTGTTCGCGGTTTGCACTTAAAAAGGCGCGTGCCTTGCGCACGGTGGGTTGAGAAGCCTCATTAGTGCAAGAATACACATGACTAGATGCCAAAACCCCAGTGTGGATGCTGGCTGTACTCTCCACGTCGCTCCAGTTCTATTGTCAGGATGCCTCGCGGGCGCTGGGGTTTCAACACCTCTTCTTCGGCAGAAAGTGTGAATGTGTGCGCACGTGTGTGCGGAGGTGGAGGTAGGTATGCGGCTCCAGCCAAACAAGGTGACCAAGACTGTTTCGGATAGCAATGGACCAGCGCCGCACCTCGAAAACGACTCCGTGTGTTGGGGATTGCGCACTTCGTGAATATGGCATTTGGATTTCTGTCCGGTTTTGGGGCTTGAATACAGTCGGTTCCATGGCCCAAACACCAACATCCAAGTAGACGCCCCATTCCACCAGCAACCGTTCGAGACACACACATAAGTGATTACCCATTACATCACAGCACCTAAACCCCGCCAGTCCGCATGTAGACACTGGATTCCACAAGCACCCGCTCGAGACACATATCGTGGCAACACAAAATATCAAGACCAGCCGTTCCCCATGTAGACGCTCGATTTCGTAAGCACCCGCTCAAGAAACACATCAGCGGCAGCAAATCAAAACCAGCCATTTAGTTCCCATGTAGACGCTCGATTTTGCAAGCCTGCGACACCACATCAGTGGCATCGCAGCAAACAGCAAATCAAAACCAGCCAGTCCCCTTGTAGATGCTCGATCACGCAAGCACCAACTCGAGACACAAGTGGCATCACAACATATCCAAGCTCAAGGAAAGACCGCGCACAGTACTGGATCGCAGAAACTACAGACTGGATGGGAGACAACATATGATCGAAGTATTGAAAACTAGCCCAAAGCCTGCGGCACATGGGGTTGGGACGACTTCGCCCCGGCAGGGACGACTTAAACCTACCGCTAGTGGTGGTAATAGTACGAGTAGTGGTAGTAGTGGTAGTGTTTGTGGCAGTGGTGCCAGTAAAAGCAGCCCGAGTTTCTCTTCTTTTCGTGTGCTTCCCTTCTTTAATTCCTATTGCTTTTGATTCCCCAAGCGAGGTCTCCAGGGAGGTGAACTCCATGCCAATTACTGGCTAGCCATGGAGCGCAGTACGCTCAGATCTCACTTAGATGCACTCACTTTACATCGGAAACTGCGCGCAGAGCCCCGTCCTGGTTTATGTGTGTACCAGCCAGTACCTGTACAAACTAGTCTCCACTCAGATGCAAGCCGGCCTCACTGAAGTACGTCTTGTCCAGAGATCTGCAGAATTCTGCGAAGACCTGCCTTCGCATGCACTGACATTTAGAGGTACTCCTCTCAAAAATCACGATTCTGAAAACTCCGATGCTGCTGTGCGATGTCAAGGCACGGAAAGATCTTCGAGGTCAAGAGGTACAGGGGATGTCCGCGAAGGTGATCTGAAGTGCTTGCGTCGCATGCCGTGCTTCCATGTGTCTGTACCGACAGCTGTTCGAGAAAACGCAGCAAATAAACTTCTTCAGAGGAAATGGCTGAAGCAGTGACAACCCGGAAGGGGAAGGGGCATGCACGAGTGAGCACCTGGCCCGATATGTCTCATTTCACTCATGAGGCCTCCCAGCTGGAACGTGGCCAATTCCGCGTGAAGGACAGGTGATATTAAGGAGGTATCATATCCAATCCTAGGCGGATTACACGGTCACAGGCGGTCACAGGCGCTGTTTCCCACCTCCACGGCGCAAGCAACCATGCCCTGCTCATGCTGGCGCTAACAAACATCCCAGCATCGGGGAGTGACGAGTCATTTTGTAGTCGGCATAGCTCATGATTCGCATCATCAGCCTCGCATGAAGCACTGGAGCTGTGCAGCACCAGACATCTGCTTCAGCAAGGCATGCGTGGACACATTCGGCAAGTCCCAGCGGCTCTGTCGAGACTGCCTTGGTCTGGAGGAAGATGCGGAGCTCGCGTCTTTTGCCTTGCCAAGCTATTTCCAGCATTAATCTAAACGAAGCGCTGCAACTCAGAGAGCCTGGGCAGTGGGCAGTAGCTATGAAGCCGGTACAAATTCCCACCCGCATCCCCCACTGAGTTCTTGAGTGAGGGAAGGCTATCTATATCGCATCGGTGGAGGGCTTGACAAGCTGCGGCTGCGCTCGTTATTCACTTGGCGAATCTCGTGGAGCGTACCAGTCAAGATGGACAGTGCAGATCCGATGACTAGCACCTCAGCCAGGAGGCATAGAAGTGAGAGCTTAACACCAGTTCGGGTATACGTGGCAAGAAGCAGGAGATCTGATAAGGATGCTCGGGTCTCACATGGTACTGCAGACAATGGGCGGTGAGCACGAAAACCAACACTGCAACGACGTGCTCCAATCCACTTTCCTTGTGCAGGCAGAGATAAGAACATGAAGAGAGATAGAGTGAAAATAAGCAAGACATGCCTGACATGCATGTCGCACCTATCGACAAAGCAAAAGAAACATGCCGCCCCTGATGCAAAATGCTGTTCAGCAGCTGGGTCCAGTTGCGGTGGTGCTGGTGGTAAGAGGATCCATCCGATGGAATGCACATACTGGATGCTTGGGTCAGAGAGTGAAATCTGCGCTATGTCGATCCTTGGTGCTCAACAATCCTACGAACCCTCCACTTATCATGCGAACACTACGGACGTTATTTAATTCCGTTGCAGATTGCACTTCGGATGCACGAAACCCTCCGGCCAAGCTGGCAGCTTCTGAAGGGTGCGACAGAGCTCGCGCAGCTGGATTCATGCACCAATGCATCGGAAGTTCCAACTACCCATCTTGAGATCTTGCGCTTCAGGAACTGCCTGGAGGCCTCGTGCTTCTGACACTGCCTGGCAACAAACTCGCAGCTGTTCGCGCTCTTCATTAATGACCCCGCCTTCCCCACGACGAAGAAGACACAGGCCAGAACATGCGTCACCCCGCCAATCACCATCAGCATTCGGCCAATTGTGAAGAGCAGTATCAGCCATTGCCTTCCCATCGAAATCACCTGCAGCGAGGTCACAGACGCCAACACAAAATGCACGGCATCAGCAGAATCATGTCGAATGCAGCTCAGTTCTTTCAGCTGCAGCGCGAGGTTTTCGATTATGACATTGACCTTACCGGCTTTGAAGATTCGAAGAATTCGGAGAGTTCCTTAGCACACGTCTTCCAAGCGCCCAAATGCCTACACACGACGAACCTAAATTTGTGCTTACCACTCGGCACACTTCAGACCGAATGATTTCATGGGACCATCGATCAAGCGCAGCACAGCCATGTGTCGCAACAAGCGGAGGTAACGTGCAGACCGAAGCGGACGCAAGAGGTCGCCCTGCTCCTGTAGAAGCGACGAAGCTGCCAAGGAACCAAAGACTGAACTACATCAGATGCAAGGCAAAGACCAGTGCTGTCCTTGGAGACATTGCCCACAAATCCGGCAGTGTAATCTACGGCAAGGACGCAAACATCGAAGGCGAACCAAGTCTTCAAGTAATGAAGACCTGAGATCTGAAATCTGTGAAATCTTTGCCGATGCAATCCTTCTCGGAGGAACAGAAGTAAGAGGAGATATCGCGGCATGACTGCCCACTTCCAGGAACTGAGGCCCTGACAGATGTCCTGGCCGGGATTCGTGGTGTCTGTACATGCCAGTCATGTAAATACATGCCATGTAAGTCAGTTTACTCTGTAGGATCAGTGGCCCACAAGAAACCTAATTTTGCAAGTCTTTCCATGTCCCTGCTGTATGCCAGCTAATTCTCATGAAGTACTGCTTCGATTTAGCGCGCGGAAGGAGCAGCGAAGAAAAAGCTTGCCCGAGGAGCAGGCACGGCAAGCACGAAAGCAAATGTCGAAGAAGAATGAAGAAGTATCGAGCGAGTATATGGATCACGTCCGGAGCACCACCCGGATCCTCGATGCTCATGTTATGCCTTTCACCATTTTCACGAGGTCGACTAAGTCGCGCTGCAGCGCAGGGATCGGTTTGGTAAGCGAGCTGTTCGGCCAAGCATGCGTGCAATGCTCTATGCGCTGCCTTACAGATGAGGCTTCCCACTAGCGAAGTGCGCAGCGTCGTGGCCACATCGAAAGCCGTTGTGAAAGGGCTCTCGCCAAGGACTTTTGTAGACTTCTTGATTAGTGCCGATCAGCCCATTCCCTCCAACGAGCCTTTCGCTTCAGTTGCAAGGCGCCCTTCCTGTAGAAGCCTGTGTTGAACGACATGACCATGTCCTCGGGCACTGCGAGGTTCGCTGGCCACTTTCATGGCCGAACATGACACTGCGACACTGCGAGGTTCGCCGTGCAGGCAAGAGTCAAGTGGCCAAAAGATCAAGGATGTCATTGCCAAGACTTGTAAAAGCACCTCACCACCTTTTGCTTCAGCTGTGAAAGGCGAAACATCCAGGTCGAAGGCCATGGTGAGGGGCAGGAGGAAGGCGTCCAAGATGATGAGGGTCACGCTCGCAAAATCCCAGCCGACCCGAAATTTGGAGTTGGGCGATACCACGATTGAGTCACATTTGTCAAACTCGCTGTGCAAGCTTTTCGTAGGTGACCTTTGCCTATGCGACCCAAGAGATCCCATCTGTGTTGCCGAGCTGCTTCCAAACTTGTGCTTTGTTCTGCGGCTAACCGTCTCAACTGCCTCGCCAGCCTAGCCAGGGAGGGAAGGTCCGAGCATGACGCACATGAGGCTTGCTGAAAGCAGGCCGACCGCACACCTTCTGAGATATCTCCATCAGATGGCTATTCAGCCGAAAGTGCGGTTGTGCCGATGCTCCTTCTTGCAAAGCTGCTGCTGTTTGCTGTAGCACCAGAGCTCCCACCCTGAGACCAAAAAGGCAGTGAACGGTGCATGAGTCATGAGCCGCTGACTTGCACCAAGATAAGGCAGACAAGGTTCGACATGGTGCTCTCTTTTGGCCCAGGAGTATCGGACACGGTCATTGTCATCGTAATTCCTGTGTCTTTCAATATCCAGGAGTCCAGCGGAGATACCTCTGCCGCCAGCAGAGGACTTGCTGATGGCACCTGTGTGAAGAACAGGATTCTTCGAAGGACATGAAGCTGAGAAAGCGGCTGAAAGCGGTCAGCAGCCTCCACGCTCCCATGGCTTTGCTCGAGATGTCGAACCAGGTCGGACTCGATGGCTTTGTGCGCCAGACCCACCTGCACACTTCGACGAGGACTTACTTGCACCACGCCCCTGTCACTCACCTGCTTCCGGATGTCCCCGAAGGCAGTCTGCAGTTCTGCTTCAAGGCTGGCAAAACCTGATTGTCGGCTGGCACACCGACACATGAACTGCAAGATGGCCCTGCGACCGATCCTGACTGGCTTTAGGCGTCTGAGCTCCACACGCTGCGCGACTGAGGATTGGGTTTCTGCCAGTAGGCTCGGCATGCTGCCAACCGAGCTGAGGCCGGGCTCGTACACAGTCAAAGCTGAAGAGTCAGAGGGCTGGCTGGGAGGTGTCGCCATGAGGTGATTCTTCGGAAAATATACAGTCGGGCATTTTGGCAATGCAGGTCATATGCGGGGGCATATGCCGCTGTCTTCAAAATATGCTTTAGAGCCTGGCCAAGTCCCGGAGCAGTCTTGCCGACGCGTGTGCGAGAAGCCGATTGGGTCTCTATGCCGTCTCGCGTGACTCCGCGCGAGCTCTGATGGGTTCGACGAAGGGAACGAGGTCCCTGTGAAACACGGCCCTGTGGCCGCACACCGAGTCCTCTCTGCCCTCGCAACCTGAAATGCTTGCGGGGCGAGCAGGGTGTAGTCTCAAATGCGTGTATGCGTCGACAACTGCCTGAGCTGCACCACTGCGGCACCTCTTTAAGGTACCGCTTGGAAAAGCCCAAGAATCAAAACCAAACGTCCGAAGAAACAACTTAAGAGGATATGAGGCCTGAGCTACTCTCGCGGAACGGCATGTGCCTTCGACGCACTGCGTGGTAAAATTGACAATTTAATTTGCACAAGGCCGCTGCGCGAATAGGCAGGCACGGCAGCAACGCAAACCATATCCTTGGATCACTCAAGAATCCAGTGAACCAATGTGCTTCAGATTTTCACCGGTCTCTCCACGTGACAGCGGCATTGGCCAGTTCATGCCGTTCCTGCTCTTCGTGCGTATGCCCCTACAACCCCCGCCTACAACCCCACCCTCAACGCGCTTTCCAGCACAATCAGTCGCGAACCATGTGCGAAGGTACCGGCAGGTCCCCCTGCTGAGGCCAAGGCGAATGACAGGAGAGATGGGAGAGAGCGTTCTCCGAACAACTCCTAGAACTGGCAGCTCTTCACGGCATGTATGTGGAGCTCATGTCCGGAGGGAGGCTCGCCAGTCTCCTGCGGCGAGAAGCCACCAGATGCTCACTGCTCTCACTGCCTTCTCGGGCCCCTGAGGCCCTAGGGCCTCTGGCCGCTAGGGCCTCTGCTTCTCTACTGGCAACGAAAAGAAAAGAGACATCTCGGCGCCTCAACGGGGCTCAAAGACTGTTGTAATGCGCAGTCCTCGCTGTGCCTCTGCTTCTGAACCAGCTCACGCACGGAGTTTGCCAACATGATGACATCCGTGTGGGGTTCTTGTACCTCGCATGGCATGCCGTGCAATTTCCGTCAATATCGCTTGCTGATTCGTTGATGTTTCTCTGATGCCTGTCACTCTGGGTTTGTGGCTCAACCTTTCGGCTCAAGTCCTTCAAACGGCTCTGAGGCTCACCCGGCGCCAGTTCTCCTGCTGCACCTCCAGAGAGAATCGATTATCCTGAGCTCGCATGACTGGAAATCCTACAGTTTGCAACAGCAGCCGGGGTGACGCCTTGGGTTCGCATGTGTACTCTCGCCAAGGGGCCGCTAGGCGGAGCCTTGCCCTTGATAAGCACGTCTGGAAAATGTAGCCTCGGTCATATTCGACATTAACTTGTGTTAGGCTTCGTAAAAGCACTATGACGCTATTGGCCACCTCGTGTCCTTCTGCTGGCAAAGCCAAGTCGGCATCTTGAAAGAACGAAATCATCAGCGTCAGGCGATGATGTCATCATATGTCATCAGCATGAAGTCGGCAAGTGGCTGTTTTGCACCATCAGGATGAAAGCTGCCAGGTCAGCCAGGTCCACAGCCAGAATCATGCCTGTGAGTTGTCTGCTGGCGCGTCCATGCTGTGCATTCGACGATAAGCAAATAGACGCGTTGCTGATAGGTGCACCGAACCCCATGGCAAGCTCTCAAACAAACGACATTCGACAGGGCTTGGTCGTTATCAAGCTCTCACTGCCGACCTGAGTCTGTATATGTCGCATGAACTGCGCGCACGAGCTCGACCAGGACCTGGAACTGGCTTTCAATCCATGCATGCAACAAGGATCAACAGCGAGGAAGCTTTCGGCAAGCCACAAAGATGGAAGAGATCTAAAGACACAGAACACGCGCTACACATATCATACTATAGATATCACAGGCATCAAGAAACATACATTCCGTTCGAGAAGCATACAAAACCACGCATGTTGGAGATGGATGCTTCAACCCTCCATGTCCATGCTGCCCGATAAGCACATGTTGGCTGGCTTCGGAAGTCGCTCACACCATGCATACATGGTTTTTGCCTTTTCTTGCTTCTGTTGTAGGGCATTGTAGGGTGACCCATCTGCAACAAGTTGATCGAGTAATTTGAAGATGCCATTTATTCTTGCTAATCCCTTCTTGATCTCTGCCCTTTCCTTAAGGTGCTCGGTAATCTCACGCATTTGCCTTCAAGAGCGCAGGGATGGTCACGAAAGCCTGAGCTTCGACGATTGCTCGAATGCTTTGCACAAAAGCATAGGGCCAGGACGTAGGGACCTGGACTTGTGTCGGCACTGAGCACATGGCATTCGCCTTTGCACGCTCCAGGCACAGCGGAAGGAACCTTTGCCAGGGCGAGTCGAGTTCATCGGTGCAACCCCGCAGGCTGGTTTAACAAGAAGGATCTGAGCAGCGATTGGTAATCTTTGGCCAAAGGTTAGCCGTGCAGACATCGTGCGTGCAAATTGGTATGACGTTGTACTGCGATGTTGCAGAAGGGGTTGCATTGTTGAGCGGAGGGGCTCGAAGACCACGGCCCGATTCTCGATCCCATCTGCCAGGAAGTGTTGCAGCAGCACCCTCTGCTCCGAGCGCTCCAGACCACTCCAGGACTTCTGGAGCTCTTCGAGGTCCTGGCAGGGCAAGAGCTTTCTGGCTTAGAATCTTCGCGTTCTCGCTAGCTTCTGCAGCTTCAAGCCCTCAAGCACGGCACATCCTTCACAGATTGAGCTCGGCATAAGCCTCAGTGCAACAAGACATGCAGGCAAAGATAGCTCTGCGCAGCGTGACAGCAAAGACAGTTGGTGCCCATTTGTGTTTGTCACTCTTTGCCACTAAGATGTTCGATCTGCAGCTGGGCCGACATCATTGACAGAAGCAATCATGCAATCATCTGCTTCACATAATTACGGATAAGCCACATGCAAACCGCACCACTGCCAAGTCTGCGGTATTGCGAGGCATCCGCCCCAATTGAACTCCACGGTTGTGGAGGAAGGTCCAGTAAAGTTTCGTAGGGTCCTGACACACGTCCAGGCGGTCATAGAACCACGATGCACCAGACTTCGCCCGATTTTCGTTAACACTCCGAAAACAGGGGGTCCTTCTCCAGCACCCTCTTGATGACTGAAAGCCCAGGGATTGTTGCGTTCGCGTTTGTCCGTGTCATGAAGCGGGAGCCCTGCCCACCGGCCAAGCCGGACATGAATCCCAGCAGAAAGAGTACCTCACACCGCTCAGAAGTGGCAGCACACTGATGGCTAGAACTTGCAGCAACTACTGGATCCAATACTTTTCGTGTCGATTTCCTGCACGACTTCCACTGAGCATGGTAAACTTCAGCGCTGGGCAGCTGCATGCCATGATGTGATCGAATGTGCCAACAAGGCGCATAAAATTGCAGACCTTCTTCACCTTAGCAATGACCCAAAGCCAAATTCAAAGGAAGCTGTCTCATAGATCTTGCAATCCATCCGACACCTAACTTTGGCATGCCACTACCACAATCTCGAATGAAGTCCTTGAGCTGAAGCAGGTTGGCTGGCACCTGAAAGCGAGATGTTGCCACGGCAGTCATGCTGGACACCACGGCATGTATCCAATGGTTGGATTCGTGAGTTTTTCTGCGGCATGCGGACAATCGGTAGTACGAAGAACTCCTTCGCAGCCAATACTCAGATGAGGCACATTCTCACCCTGAAGCATTTGTGCAAAGTTGAAGCACACTTGCAGGTCCAGTGTCTGGGTCCTAAACTTCGACAGAGACTGCCGAAGAATGCCCGTGAGGGCAGCCCGTGGTAAGGCACAAATGGAAAATACTGGTGAATCTCTCGCCCAGGTTCACGTAGGTCCGTATCTCCGCTGACAGAGTGGCTCCCAATGGAGTTGCATCCGGGTATGCAGCCTTTCAGGACCAACGGCTAATACTCTGGAGCTGCCTCCACGATTACTGCCAACGCTAGAAATTCAATCTGATGCTTTCTGAGGGGGCCAGAATGTAGCGCACAGCTTGCTCCGGGCGCTGATGTTTCGCGGGCAGCTGGCGAACAATTGGCCTGCCGCATGCAGCCAGGCCACCGTCGCAGAACTACACTGCGCTCTGCAAGTGCAGGTCAAGCCCGTCAAGAGTCAAGCCTGTATTTGCCCACAGGGCGCACCGCCAGAAGCCAAATAACGGCCAGCAAGCTCCTTGCGATGACACAGCACAGGGGATTGGACTGATCGCCCGGAATGCTAAATTCAATTCAAGCAGCTGCTTTTGAGGAGCTGCCCACGACAGGACGCCTTGAAGCTGTTGCCACTGCGATTTGGTCATGCGAACTTCCGCCTTCTGTGGTGCAGCGAAAGCCTGGACATTCCGCAACCAATGTGGCCAAGTTCGGACGAGGCGTGAGAGGCAAACAAACGACCGATGCCAGCTTAACTGTTCTGAATCTCAATCGGGCGCTTGACCATGAATCCGTCATAATCTGTCTTTACCTAGATGCAAACACCTGTCCAAATCTCCATGTAATCATCGGCTGAGCGAAGACTGTTGCCGGTCTGTCCGCTAGGCCGCTAGGCCTCGTAATCGTTGCGCACCAAGGCCAGCAGGCTCAAGATCGAGGACTCCACCCTTTCCTGCTCCTTCATCTCTCCAAACCTTCGAAAGAGAAACACACAGACTCCCATAGTAAGGTTCTCATCGAACCCTGCACCTGGCGTGAAGGCCGTGAGTCGGGTCGAGCTCCACGAAAGCCGTGCGCAACTTGTCGAGGATCTCCTGCGGCCTCGCAGGAGTGCGACGCAGCGTGAGCTTGCCAGAGCTCAAGCTCGTGCGAAGGCAAAGGCGTGGTCAGCTGAGGATAACGCGACGGCTTGTCTGCTGACTCCAATATCCAGTGCATGAAATCCATCGGCATCAAGGCGCGGGTGTCCTCGAGGCTTCTGAATTGAAATGTGAGGTCACGGGACCTGGGGCTCGTGGAATGTGCGAGGTTCGCGGTGGATGGCCCTGCATGGCCTTGGGCCTCTGGGCGACTTAGTCAATTTAGTTGTCAGCGCGCGTCCTGGCATGAAGCACATGAAGCAGGCATAAGTCCCTGTCCTGCAGCTCGGTCAGGTCTATCACCCTGAGGATCTTTCCTTTGCTCAATGCAGAAAGACTTCGGCACTCGCAGCGGCTTGTGACAACGACATTGTGCGGCCAAGGTGCGCTCATCAACATTCATGTCCATGTAGAACCTGCAGGGCGAGCTAGGCGTGATGTGGCGAAGCTGCAACGACGGAACCCTAAACATGTCCTGCAACTATGACAGCCAAGGAACGAGTTGACATGGCACGCTTTCTTAGCACATCCAATGTCAAGGTCCAGGATGTCCGAAACCCACAGGTCCCGAGTTGCTTCAGCATATTGCGAAATGTACCTCAGCAAGCTCCACTGGACTGCTGCTAACTCAGGAACACGGGCGTGTCAAGCCATAAAGGTCGTCAGGTGCTTCGAGATGCGAACACCGATCTGCCGGGATGCTCGTTGGCATACTCGATAAACATGGTGGTACACATTGGCGAGTTGGCCCTGAAGATTTGGCAGTCGTTCCAAAGGCGGGAAGCGAGTTTAGCAGCTTGCTGCAAAGGCGCAGCAGACTCGCCAGTGATGTTGAAGAAAGCACAAAAACCTGAGGATTGCATTGCGAAGTGACAACAGCACCCTCCACGGGTCTTGCAGGCCGCCTCTCACAGCCGGCTGAGACTGAGAGCGCAGCTTCAGCGAAGGACTCAGCCTGAGTGCGACTCACGCCTGTTTGGTCCCTCAACGTCGTGCAGGGTAACAGGCAGACTGACTCAGGAGACATGCTACTGAGCTAAACTAGTGGGAGCAGCACATCCATGATGAAAACACATGTGGCGCTCCCACCATACCTCGCCCGGCCCTGGCCCAAGCATCCTCATGCCAAGACCTGCCCTCGTTTCCCACATGCAGTAGCGCCACTGGTGTTTGGTGACCGGGACCTAACACCGAATTCACCGTCGAATCTAGTACTTTGGCGCTTCCGAACCTGATGAAGCTCGATCCTTCGGCCTTGAATTTCTACATGTAGGCCCTGTTCTGCTCATGCCGCAAGTATCGGCATGTGAGCAGCAACAACTCCAGTGATGAGGCCCCTGTGGCTCGGTACGGCCCATCTCCAAGTGCATCTTCTACCCATTAGCTTTTTTGAGGCCCATGCGGTGAGAGTACACACGTGCATCACAGCTTCTGCATAGAGTGCGACCTCGCACTCGCTGAGCGCATGTAGAGCATGCAAGGCACATCAGGGCATGGAGACTGGCTCCGGATCGGTCATGGTCTGCATTCCCTGCATGGCCTCCGCGAAGTAGCGGTGGGCACCCGAGAAACGGACCACTTGCTTGCTGCCTTCGTCGACACCTGTCACTGGTATTGTCGGCCAATAAGCTAGTTACCGGTTGGCCGCTTCAATGCGCAGTCAGACTTCGACCGGGGTGCCTGGCCTAATGCATACTCGCCATGGCTTGTGACGTACATCATCTCAGCGATTGAGCCCATGCTGAAGACGGACTCGGCCTGCCAGACGCCGGTGAGACTACTTTGGCAGCTAGTGGTCGGCAGTATTCGTTACCAGTAGTACTTTCTCTGCCTCACTGTAGAAACGTTTCTGCAATGCACTGCAGAACTCCGCGAAGATTGTCCTGCGCCACCAAAGATTCAAGCATCGTGCGAGGTACGAGCCTGAAACAAGAAGAGCAAGTTTTGCACATCCAGTATGAGCCAAGCTGCGGGAAGATGCTGGCTGTGAGCGAGAAGAAAGGATGCTCGGTCAGGTTGCCTGACACACAGAGGCCCAACGCGAAAATCTGCTTTGGCTCGCCTTCACGGCAAGCGGCTTCCGAATTGGAAGGTGGCAAGCTCTGCTTGCAACATCGGCGAGATGAGGGCGTTGTCATAGACAATCCTCGGAGCCCGAGACAGCACTCGGGCTCACCACGCTGCACTCCAAGTTCTCTTGCAGCACTGCTTCGGAGACTGCCGCGCCATCTTGTAGTCTGCATAGCTCATGATGCGCATGAGAAGCCTGATAAGGCACAACCCAGGCATGCAAAAGTTGGGATTCGATCTGCCTGCCGGCGCCCCACTAAGCCCCTCTATACGTCCCAGCTCAAGCACCAAAAAGCGACATAAGACTCAGTCACGGAGTGGCTCCTGCATACGTTCTCACCTGTATGCATTCTCACCTGTCGGACATTGCATGCCTCAGTCCATCTCGAATCGTCACAGCCGTTTAGGTGCCTTCAGGAAGGCCTCCGGGCCTCTTGGAGGACGCTGTTCTTTGCTTCTAGGGACAGCGCCACGCGGCAACGAGTGCAACGCTTTTTTCAAACCAACTCGAGACTTTGAACGTCGACTCGAAACCACAGCTTCGATCACAAAGCCATGCTGACCCCAAGAATTCTGGCTTCGTCAGTGCCTTGCAATCGAATCGTGGTACACTATGAGAGCTCAGCGCAAAACGATGCTTCCATATGCCACGCAGCTCTGTTGGGACGGCTTTGGTCTGGAGAAAAATGCGCAACTCGCGGCGCTTTCCTGCGCGATCCCGTGTCATCGATGCGTTGTTGCAAGCGGGTTCTGTGAGATCGACCATGGAAAGAAAGACTGTGACAAGCAAGGGTGCGTGTTTGCACGAGAACATGAGTCGTGAGTAAGCAGCGGCCAGATGCAGATCCAGGCTCTGCTGCGTTCGTTGTTAACCTGGCGAATCTCTTGGAGAGTTCCGGTCAAGATCGACAGCGCCGACCCAATCACCAAAACCTTGGCTTGAGAACTGTCTCTTTACAAACCATGTTCAGCACATGCCTTCTATGATCTACACTTCATTCAGCAGGTGCAGCCTTGGGGCTGTTGTCACAAAAAGCATCAGGGAGACAAAGTGCTCCAAGCCACTGTCCTGGACAGTGTCGCTGCTTGTGCAAATCAAGAGATGTGCAGCACCGTTTTGAATGCAATGCTCATGATGGCAAAGGTACGGCTGCCAATTCGGGCCCGATTTGGAGTGCATCCTTGCCAAGAGTCTGGTTCGAGCGTGGGCGGCGCTGGAGGCAACAGAATCCATCCGATGGAATGGACATACTGCACGTACCCGGTAGAGTTCGTGATTAAAGCCAGTTCGATCCTCAGAACTCGAAGGCATGCTGACAACGAAGTGCAGTCAAAGGCTTTTCGTGTATGCACATTACATGCGGCTGCGGTTGGTGACAGCTCCGGCAGGTGCTTGGCAGGGTTCTTCCGAAGCTCTGCGCATGCCGAGTGTCCAACTGTCGATGTCACTCGTCTCGGTAACCGCCTGCAAAGATGGAGTGCTGGAATGGGACCGGAGTTACTCTCCGTCGGCGAGTTGGAATCAAGGGGGAATAGGAGTTCTGCTGCCGCTGCAGTGCGTAAAAAGACAACGCGCACTCTTGGCACCTAGACCAGGTCCTTTCCCCGTCTCCTTCTTTATCGACATCTGAGGTTGTAGCTCCCTGTGATTTTTGCGTAATGACAGGCTGGCATCGCAAACAGTGCCTTCCCGAGGCCAAACCAGATGCAGGCCATAATGTGGGCAATCATCCCAATGGCTAGCAACATCCGCCCAACTGTGAAGGCAAGGATGAGCCACTGGCGGCCAGTAGAGATCACCTCAGTGCTTCGATTTCACGGGGCAGTGCTGCATGATTGACACCGTCTGAGCAAACCACGAGGTTCTCCAGCAACAGATTGATCTTTCCGGCCTTCAACAGCCGGAGAATGCGAAGCGTTCCTCGGTTCTATGCTGAGCCATAGGGTCATGAATGATGCACTGCGCCTGTTTTGTCCAAATCTGGCAGGGTCTGAACGGGCGAATGCTGTGCAATGGCGCGGCCAAGTCTCGCAACAGACGAAGATACCGGGCTGAGCGAAGGGATTGCAGAAATTCTTGAGACTGGTTCTCCTGCACAGAAGTAAAGCCTCTCTGAGGTCAAATGGTACGCATCCAGAATTGCCAAGGTGTTTGCGACCTTGTGCCGAACTCCTGCCTCCTCGAGTAGCATCATGAACCCGGCCGAAACGTCGATCGCCACCAGGCCAAGGTCAAAGACGAACCATGTGTGCAGGTACCGCGCGGCGATCGCCTTGACACATCGGTTCACGTCCGGCACGAAACGGGCTGCAGCTACAGACTTTCAAGCAAGGGTCGGAACGCGCTGTTTGAAGGACGCCTTGCACGAAGAAGCCAGTGGTAAAACTCAAGTAAATGTCCTCAGGTCAGTTGCTTGCTCCGAAAACCCACCTCGATCACCACGAGACTACAATGTAGACCCAACTGCAGAAGCCGTAAGTCATAAGTGCTGCTCCGAGCTTCAATCGGCCAGAAAACTAAAGAAACCGATGCAAAAACGTGCAGGCCAACATGGGTGGCAACATTGGGAGTTGGAAAAGGCGTCAGCGTGAGGTTCCACGCAAGGCATATGGGGAGGAGGAAGGCGTCCATCAGGATCATGCCGGCACTCGCCATGTCCCAAGCAATCCGAAACTTGGAATTGGGAGGGATGATAGTGCAAGACTCACACCGCTCAAACTCACTACTGTAAGTCTTTGTCGACGATCTTGTGCGAGTGATCTCGAGTGCGTTCCTCCATCGTTCCCTCCCGGAGTTTCCAACGGCCTCTCCAGCTTTCATGGAAAGCTCCATGAGATGGTGGTTCAGGCGCAGATTCAATTTCTGCGACCTCCCATTCTGAATCTCGGCCGTCTGCTGCAAAACCAAAGCTCCCACAGGAAGCACCTTTCCAAAGCCTTCTTCGCCTGGTAGCTGCTGCACGTCGTCTTCGAGAAGCCAGGTATCCGCTAGTTCTTCACCGCTAAAGCCGTTTATTTCGTTCGACTCGTTGCCGCCATGGTTTGCAGACAAGTCCTGGACCGGAGATTCGCGATACGCAAGCAGAATGGGCGATTGTACGAACACGACGCGACGACGTACTGAGCTTTCGTGACACAAAGAGCAGTTAGATGCAGTTAGGCATTCACGGCTGCATTTGCTACCTGCCATTGCTATGCTTCTGACTGTGTTGCCGTGATGCCACGCATACGCGATCATACGCGCCTGCAGCTCCTCGGACCGACTTTCGTGGAGCCGAAGAAGGTCCGACTCGATGCCATTCTGGAGCTGCTGCACCTGCAGGCGGTTGCCTACGAGTCTCACGAACTTCCTCTTCTGCACAGAATTCCCTTCCATTCGCGCGGCCCACGGGATCCCACTGTCGCGGTCGGCGCACATGCTTTTTTCCCGAATAGCCTCCTGGGATTTAACAAAAGTTTAGTATGTGCTAGACACACAAAGAGCGGTCGACATCCCTGCCAGATCAGGGCGCCAGCAAACGTGTCCGCTGTCCGTTGCCGCTACAGTACTTGCTCCGTGTGGGTACCATCCCACCCCTTCACCCAACAATCTAGCCCCCAACTTCCCCGTAGCTGTGTCGCTTCCGGTCTGGCTCCAAGCGCGGTGTGTAGGGCATGCTTGGGGAGAGCCCCGCTTCTGAACCTTGTCGAAACCCGCACGGCGCTTCGCCCTCTGTGCTCTGCCCCTTCGCGCCTCACCCTGTTCGACCGCATGTTCGGGGCTATCCGGTATCGGCTTTGACTGCACACAGTTTGATGGAATCCGATCGGGGGAAATGATTCCCAGGCAAGATTCGCAGTTGCCTTCTGTGAAAGTATGAAAGCTCGGACTACAAACACTGCAACTGCATGAAGCAAATTGGGCCAAAGGAGCTCCTGAACACACACGGCACGTCTGAAAGACACACGGTTGTGCAGGCACGTCAGAGATGTTCAAATCCTTCGACACTCTTTGTGAAGGTAACGGGGGATTGGCGAGGGGGGGAAGCCCCAGCCCTAAGTTACAAACACAATGCTAAACAAGGCAACAACAGCCGATGGCAGCAAGCAGAAAGTAAAACCGAAGCAGATGAAGCCACGGCAAGCAGCGAAAAGCGGCAAAGCAACCAACAATGTAAAGCGATCTCAGCCGATAAGCAGAAGGCAAAAAGTAACGGTAGAAGGCAAAAATGCGGACAGCAGGCAAGCGAAAGCAGAAATGGAATCCGTAGAACACAAAAGCGGAAAAAGGGTGAAAATGCAAAAAGCATTGCAGAGCAATGCAAACACCAACGTGTAGCTGCACCACCAAAACCTGAAACTGCACCGTACTCTTGGGCCCTTTGCAAGACACAGACCCGTCTCGCGCTCTTACTTCCTTTCTTGCTTCGGATGTTCGCGTTCGCCCCTACTGGGCAGTCATGAGTCCTCCAATCCCTGTCCTACATGGCGGCATTGCTTCTTTCTTTCTCCCTTTGCTTTTGCACTCAAGGAGCCGACGTAAAGCACCGACTCCATAACGACAGGAAGCGAAGCACAAGTACACTCTCTGAGACTCTCTCGCTGGGAAACCTGGAGCTGGATCTGATCCAAGGACTTGCGCAGCTCGCCTTCTGCCTCCGCAAAGCCTGAAGTCGAGACGTCCGAAGGTCCGAAACCATCGATTCAACAATGGTGCTGCTATGTGCTGCTTTTATTCCACTGATCGCTGCAACTACAGACCGCCGCTGTGCGCTCTTTACTCAGGGTGCCACGCGTCGACAGCACGGACTGAATCCCTTCTGCTGCCATGGCAACGGCTCTGTCTGTCACCCCGGACGGTACCCACTAAAGACTCACTGTGCTGCTACATGTTTCAAACGCTTGCAAAATGACTCGGGCTACCCTAGACAATTCTTCTTTTAATTCCATGCTGCTGACCCTTGCGACTTTGTCCACCTGCTGCCCCTCTAGTTAACTCTAGTTGAACCACACACTGCATGCCGGAGTGCTCACCGATGAACCGCTCGAGATCATGTCCCACACGGCTCCGACATCGGAGCCCTTTTGCTGATCTCTGCGCCGAGCTAATTCCTGCTTCTCGGTCTCTGAACGCCTTCGGCGTCAAGTTTTCTACGGTTCTCGGCAGCCGGACAAGCCTCCGAAGAGATACATGTGCCAAGAGGAAAACGCAAAGATGATGACTTGCTGACCTGCCAGAGAGGAGCCAAACCTTCTGGTCTGGAAGAGACAGCACGCAGATTCGTGCAGGAGCTGTACAATGCATCACGAGGACAAACGGGGTATGTTTAACATACACCGAGATTTACAGAACTTTGTGCACAAGCCACGTCCCAATTCACTTATTGAGCATTCCAGCGTAGGCACGAAGTTGACTAAAAGCGGCCTCGACTGCAGACACTGCAGCACCCACGATTGCGAGACTGCCAACAGCCAGAAACTCCAGCGAGGCGAGGCGCAGCTCATTACGGCTGGCGCCAAGGCCAAGGGTTGCACGGTGTCCTCCTGGCACACGAAACAGTCGGTGCCACTTGAGCTGTGGTCCTATGGTCCGGTCCTTCTCAGCCTTCTCTCGCTTTCGTGTCTGCACGAGGTCTCTGACCGAGTCGGCAAGCAGAACGACATCTGTATGGGGCTCGCTGACCTCTGCAGCAGTTGGGTCGAATTCGCAGGCATCAGAACTAATTTGGGCCATCTGCACAAGGAGTGTTCACAAGAGCTGAGCCGCTCTTCGCCAGTTTTCCTGCGTCATTTCCAAAGTACACCGGCTCTCCTTAGGATCTGTTACAGCTGTGAAGCTTCTGCACCATGGATCATCGAAGTGCTAATCTCCAAATGGTCCAAATGCATACAAGAATCTTTAACTTGAAGTTTGGAACGGGACAGGCAAGTCTGGAAAACAAAGCCTGGGCTTTGCCAACACAATGGCCAAGGTCTGTCTTCAGGATTCTGTTGAAACTCATCCTCTTTCGACGCACCCCTCGTGGCACTTCCAGTCGTCTTCGGCCGGGGTTATGTGCCAAGACTCCGTTTTGCACCATCAAGATGAAAGCTGCAAAATCGGCAAGATCGACAGATACAATCTGCCCTGAGCACCATGGGGAGTGGAAGCTCTACAGGTCCGTCTTTCTTGCGACTCACAGCCTGCTCCAGGTACGGTTGCCCGCACGGCTCGCAACAGCTCCACCAACACCTGTTCAGTGTCTATCCAGAACGCTGCAAGATCTCCACATCCCAAAACATGCAACCGGTGCTGCCTCAAGCAATGTCGGGACTGTAACAAATGCCTGCCGAATACACAAGCCGGAGACAGGAAACTGGGAACTGCCAGCTTCCAGAGGGCATGTCAGGAACAAGCATTCGTCTGGGGCTTAGGCATTCTTCTTGGCACGCTCCAAGCACAAGGGCAGAAACCTCACTTTTCCACGCCACCGCGCTGCAGACATGCCGAGGTTTGCAGAAGCAGTCGCACGGCTTGATAAAAAAAACTATCGACAGCATTCCAAAACCAGGTAGCTCCAGGACGACTGCACGGGAGACGATGCCGTCTGCCAAAAAATGCTTGACCAGCTCCTTCCTGTCAGTCTTGCTGAGCTGATCCCACGAGCTCTGAAGCTCACTGAGGTCCTGCGAAGACCAGGGTCACCAAGCGCTGCAAGCATAAAGCCGAACGGGCAAGGCCAACAAGTTTCATGCGACAAGACACAACTTCCGACTCCTTATCCGTTTGAGCACGGCACAAGCCTGGTTTCAGTCACAGCCCGCCACTCAATCTTGAGTGTTGCAAGCCATTGTCGCTCACAAACCGGCATCGATCTTCTTCCAGGAGCCGAGGGACATGCGAGTCGCAACACAGCGAGGTCTTCTGTGCTCTTGGCGTTCCTCCCCAGCTGCACTCCACGATTGTTGATGTAAGTCCAGTAGATTGCTGTCGGATCCTTCAGAACTCTGGAATTAAATTTAATTTAGTCTCTCTCGGGCACTCCAAGCTTGCATCGGGCCTTCGACAGGACCTGCTTCATGATCGATAAACCAAGGATAGTGGTCTTCGCATTGTTGTGTGTCATGAAGCGTGAGCCCTGGCCCCCAGCTAGGCCGGACAAAAAGCCCAAGAGGAAAATCACCTCCAGGTCTCACGGAGGCTGCACGCTGCACACTGCTGCACTGCATCTGAGATCTTTCAGAAAAGGTGCATAGAACTTCAGAGTTTCTTCGCCTTGAAAGCAAGCGCAATCGCGCTGGATCCATTTCAGCATGCTTCCATGTGAAGCTGAGCTGCCGCTTCTCTGATTTATGAAATCCTTGAGCTGCATCAAGTTGGCTGGAACCTGAAATGCATGACAAAGACCACGGCGCCCCGGAGCAACAAAGCTTGTCCCCGGCGGGACTCCTCTGCCACTCGGGGCACCAAATGGCCTACGAAGTGACAACGGATACAACCACGGCAGGGAGAATCTGATCCCAACGGCTACATGCCGAAACCATTGTATTGCGGGACTGCCAAGCCATGTAACTGCACCGACTGCACCGACCTGCTTGAACATGATGTACCCTTCTGCTCATGTTTTCCGAATCCGTCGAATGCCTAGTCCAGCCGAGATGCATTCTCACCTTGCAGCATCTGCGCGAATATGAAATTCTGCTGCAGCTCCAGTGTGTCGTCCCTGGTGCAGAGGGAAACAAGAAACGGCACAGCGGCTACATCGCTGCATGACGAGCCGATCGCTACCTTTTCCCGTCCACCGTGCGACATGCAGATGGGGCACAAGAGATGTCTGACATCCTCCGCGACGCTGTATATGGATGGGACAGCATCGGGGAAATGGTCCTCGGCAGACGAAGCTACCGCAGTGGAAATACGCGACACACACACAGCAATCCAGCATTGGCGACCGGACATGGAGGCCAGCTTGAATACCAAAGCAGAGAACTAAGTGCACGTGAGCGGCCCTGTGCAGCCGAGGAGCTAGGATGAACAAAACTGCCTGGTCTGGGCGCTGGTGCTGCGGAGGCAGTTGATGTGTGACAGACCTGCATTATCTCCCCGACAACAATTGCCACGCTGGGGCTCTCAAAGCAAAGTTCTCAAGACCAAGCGAACCGGCAGCATCAAGGCCGTGCGGTCTGTGCTCGTGATTGCATACCACCAGCCTGCACTTGCCGATGCCCCTCACAGCCAGTAGAAGGATAGCGGCCAAGAGCTTCCTCAAATTGTGAATGCTAGGCCAGCTATGCACTTACAGACTTACTGTGGCACCACTCTATGCAGTCTACACATGTTACTGTTATAGCATGTCATAAGGGCCAAGCCGCTCCCGATCTGGTGAGGCCCATACCACCACACTCTGCAGGTGCTGCCATTGTTCCGGTGTCAAGCGCGCTGCCGGCTTCTGTGGCGACGTGTATGCCTTCATTTTACGGCTTGCACCTCCCCGTCATGCAAACTTAAGCAAGGAGTTGCCTCGTAGTTGCCGCGCACCAAGGCAATCAGACTCAAAATCGCAGACTCTGCTCGCTCCTGCCCATGCATACTTGCCCGCAACTGAGTATGTGCGCACCTATCACGACAGGACGATTTTGGAGGTAAGTGACCTGCCTACACCCGTGCATTAGCTCTCTTTTCTCTCGTCAGGGCTAGGGACAAGGGGAAGGAAGGCACGTGAGCACCCTCCCCCGCGCGTGAGCGCGCCCTGCCGTCCCCAGGTCTGTGCAAACTCAGCGCGGTGAGGCCCCCGGAACGGCACCAGAAACCCCCTAGCTATTAACCTTATAGTTCCCCGGCCTCATCATCTGAACTAAGACGCGCACCGGCTCTGTGGTTGTATCCCGCTTTTTCGCAGGCTTACTTTTGTTGGTTGCACTGTGCAACCGAACGAACTTGACACAACATGAACACTAACTGCAGGCACCGTGCACTCCCCTCAAAAAGCAAGCAGTCCCCCAGCAACCCTCAGTTATGCGGGAGTGTGGCGCCGTGTGCGTTGAAAGATAACTCTGCAGCTGAGGCCCCGACGGACACTTCAACAACAAGCTCTAGCTCTCTCGCTGTCTCTCTCTCTCTCTCTCTCTCTCTCTCTCGCTCTCTCTCGGACTCAGACGTCTGTCAGCCGCGCGGTCGTCTAGCGCGTGAGCAGAAACCGAAAGAACTACAGAGACTACAAGATACAGCTACAGCTACAGCCTACGGGCCTAAAGGTGAGAGACCCGATCAATCCATTCCAGGCAGCTGCGCATGCAAAAAAACATGTGCGGGCACATAACTTTGCAGAAACACTTCTGCTTCTGACTTGGGGTGACTTGACGCACGACCCAAGGCCGATCGTCCGTCCCATGCTACAGGTGAATCTCATGTCGCTGCAAGACCAACAGATACCACATGTAACACAAGACAGAACGCACGCACGCGTGCTCATTTGCCCGGAGTGACCCTGAGCTTTGCTGCTCTTCTGCTGCGGAGCAACGGTGCGGGACCTGGCTTAGCTCGCGCATGTCTGCCGTGCATTACGGAGAAGACCGTGTCCTGTTCCTTCGAATCCGAAAACCTTGCCAGGGCTCGCACTCATAACGGAGACTGCCAACAAAGTATCCGAGTCACCAAACAAGCCGGTGCAAAATGCTGTGCTTTGCAGGCACTCTCCGCCTGGCATGGAGACCGTCATCCGGATCCAGCTCCACAAAAGCATCACGGAGTTCGTTGACCAGAGTAGTTGTCCTTGCACCGTTTCGGAGGGTAGGTAGGGTCACAGCTTCGGACCAATAACTGGGTCTTGGTCATCCAAGCTTCGGTAGGT